GCTTTCTTTGTTCATTACCTGTTTTCAATCTTTCTTTCCTCGACTTTATTTGGGAACTACCAGTGTCAATTTTTACTCTTTCTATATTTATGTATACATCTTCCCAAAACACCTTCTAAGACACTAGTGCGTTCTGGGAAGTGTAGTAACACTAGCAAAGGCAAATGAACATCACCACTCAATAGCTTATTGTAACTTTTTCTTTGTTTTCTGAATTTCAGGCAAACATCAGCAGTGATGTGTTTCAAGTTTGACCTCCACGTCTACCAGTTGAAATAATTACTCATGACCCGGTACATGGGTACTAGGCTTCTCCAAGAAATACAACACACACACACACACACACACACACACACACACATTATGCCTGCTGTCAAATGCACACACTCAGTTACTGGCTTCTTCCTGGTAATGACGTGATATAATGGTCATGAGTGGAAATCACAGCCTGCTCCGACTGTTTGACAAATGTTGTCTCAAGATATCAGAAGGAGCGGCCAGTCAGAAGCCGGCTGCTCCAGTTTGTGGAAGTAATGAATCATAACTATGTAAATGATGCAGAAACAAATGATTTTCATATTTCCATCTAATTTTACTTTATTCAAAAGGGGTGTAAAAGTATATAATATCAGGACATCTTCCTATTTAAAATGTACAAAAAGCAGAATTGTGCGATGCTACGACACACACTATTGCTGTTCTTACTTCTGAGTTTCTTGTTTTGTGTATTAGGTTTAAACTCTCCACTCTGCCTGCCTTGTGATTTAAAATCCACAGATCATAGCTGTTGATGCACAAAGCTCATTTTCTTTTGCCATTTATATTAGTAATAAATCTTTTTTCATGAGTGCTTCCTTATTTCTCTTTGATAATATGTAATAGGTGTAACAGTGGGGTTTTTTCCCTTTGGAATTTAACTGGAAAATTCCATCCTAAAAAGTGGAAAACCACTGTCAACTACAGTTCTAACAGCTATACTGAAAAAATTAGAGTATCTCTTAGGTCTCCCTGAAATTTGAAGATGATCTGTATGAGATCATATAAGCAAAAACAGTTTTTGTGCAGCAGATTTAAAATTACATCAGGCATTCACTCTGACCCTCAGATCTCTCAGTCTTGTTCTCTAAAACTTAAAAACTTATGGATTTGATCAACTGGTCCCTTAACGAAATTGACACTCTATTCTTGATGAGAAGCCTGGGCTTAGGAGAGCCCGATTCTCCTGCACAGATGTTTGCTGCTGGATATGCGATGGCCGGTTGCGTCTTTTTCCTGGCGACACTCTCGTTGGACAGCATTGAACGAGATCTACCTATTCTGGACCATGATAACAGAATTCTGGCTGATTGGACCTGGAGCGGACCTGGCTTATCGAAGAACAAAGAAAGCGGTTACAGCTGTTCAAAACCCCACAAGCCGTGAGTACTCAGACTGTGTTTACTGAACGCAATATTGATAAGATCTTGGAGAAGCTCACGGCTCTGCATCGGGAATTGAGAGACCTGATGACCAGTGATGGACATTTAGACCAAATGCGAAATTGGAATGCAGTTGTTAATTTGAACCCAAATAACCATCTCCTTCATGCAGCTACTCAAGGCCAAGACTGCCCAAAACAACAAAGTTCCCTGATAACAGGACTGTATTTTGACTATCTGCTCCCATACTTCAAGGTCACCTGCATCACCTGGAGGACTGTTCACTTTTGCTTAACCGGGTGAAAGGACACTCTTTCAAGTTGAACACAGGTTACACACACACACTCAAATCTCTCATGTACACAGACACACACTCACCCCCCTCCCAATGCCTCTGAACCATTACTCCCATCCAAATTAGGCAGGCGGATCTGTCCAGCGCTGGAAGACTGGCAACAGGACTGGGCTGCTGTCTACATGGGTTGACTCCTGAGCCCCTCCCTCCTTTTGCACCTAAAGCCACCTGTGTCTGTATTCACCTGTCACTAAAGAAGCCACACCTCTAATTAATGTAAACTTTAAGCCTTAACATGTTAACAGGCTGTAAACATATCTATTTCTGCTATGAAGTTTGACATTAACATAGGAGTTACTTTTGGAGCCGGCACCAAGTGGACGCTACAGGAACTGCAGCTGATCTGAGCTGCTGTTCAGGGAAATGATCCCAGCATGCACTGTGCCAAAGGTAAAGAAACACCCAATGGAGAAGTGTCCAGTCGGTAAAAAGCTCTATTCAGATTGTGTTACAAACTCTTCTTGTTGGATTCTGAACTAAATAGTTATTATTAGACACAGAACACAGAACAGTGAAAGCTCTTGACACACCCTTCATTTCTTTATATTATACTTTCAAGGAGGAATTGAGAAATTGTTGTCCAGTCTTTCTGAAGTTCTTTCTGAAGTTCCCCTGTGGCCATTGGCTACTTTTTCACTCAAGTAATTCCTAGTTAGGTAAAAGTTTGCCATGTCTTTGCATGGTGTGCAGTGTGTCCTTAAAGATTTTGAGGAAACTAGACAAGCGAAGGACAAAAGAAGTAGTGCCAGGCCTAAAACCTATAGCAGGTGAACACTATCTGAAAGTCGTGTCCTTTGAAAAAAAATCCAGAGCTGATTGGTAGCAGCTTCCTCTTTCAACATGACAATGATCCCAAATTTCAAACGCTAATGTGAAAGTATGTATGTAAAAATATACAGTGAAACACAGTCAGTCATGTATTAGCCTGCTGTGACCCAGACCTCATCATTATTGAAGCAGTGTGGGATCATCTACATCTGCCAGAGAACAAAAAAAGCAACCACCATCCAAAAAAGAGCATTGGATGTCTTTCAAATAACCCGTAGAACTATTTCTGAAGACTCCATAAAAAAATGACAATGAAGTTTGAAATAGAGAGTTCAGGCTGTGTTCAATAATTAAGGTTTTCTTACTAAATACTGACTCATTAGACAGTTTTGTCTCATATTCTGTCATTACATGCATGTTTCTACATGTTAGTAAATCACTGCACCTATTTCCACAGTAAGCAACGATAATATAAGTTTTAACTTGAAGCTTGTTTACAGCTATCTCAGGGAGATAGTCAGGTTTGAAAAAAAAATCAATATCTCCATCAGCATCAGCTAATAAGCTGTGTCTGCCTACCTAGCTACCTCAAAGCCATGTGTCCAAACAGAGACGACCTGTCAACAGGTTTACATGGCTTTGCATCAATTTGTTTGACACATGCACGCTTTGCATCGAGGCTGAGTGACTTTGGAGAAAGGTCCTTTTTCGGTCACGTCATTACATCTGTTATTTCCCTTGGGAACATCACTTCCCATCACTGGGTTCACTAGTAATTGTAATAGAGAGGGTGTTCCCAGGAGAAAAAACTGTCTAATTAGAGCTGAAGCATGTTTTTTTGTGAAAACTGTAAATCTGCAGTGAATCTGTGTAAATACAATAATCTAAAGATTGATCTAAAGTTGGTCATGGAAAAAATTCTTCTGACCAACAATGACATGCATTTTTTCTACTTCTTTTACACCCCCCCACCGAACACTTTAAGGGATGTGCTAGGATTACTGCACTTCCCAGAATGCACTAGTTCCTTAGAAGCTGTTTTACTTTGCGTACACTGCTCATAAAAAAGGACCACTTTTAAATTTTAGTATAGCATCAAGTCAGTTAAAACTTTGGGATACTGATCTGTTCAGTATCTGGTTTTAATTAAATTAAGAACAGGTGCACTATATGAGACAACCCACAAAACAAGGAGGAGATTCCAGTAGACAGGAGGTTAGTCTTGGAGAGCTGGATGGGGGTATAGAAGGTCCTGAACCTATCAGCAGGACTGGTATCTGCTCCTTTGTGCAAGGAAGAACAGGCCAGAACCCTACAAAATAAACTCCAGCAGGCCAGACAATCAAAAAAAGGCTTCATGAGGTGGCCTGATGACACAATATCCTTTAAAGGGCCCTGTGCTCCCTGCACTGTGGAGCCCAGTTGCTCCACAGACTGTCCAGGAGCTCAAAGATGCCCTGGTCCAGATCTTGGAGGAGATCCCCCAGAATACTATCTAATTATGAGCATGCCCTGATGTTGTCAAGCATGCATACAAGAACATGAGGACCGTACAAACCACTGAGTCCCTTTAACTTGCTGGAGTGAAATCTCAGAAAAATGGTCTGAAGCATCATTTTTTCCTGCTTTGATTTTTGGAGTAAGAGATCAGTATACTTTCCTAGTGAGATTATGGTCTTAGTCACTAGTGTTATTCCAATAAAATACAACATGATGTTCAGTTTGTAAATGATGGTACTGTTATGTAAAGTATAAAGAGGATAAAAGGGTGGTGCTCCTTCATAACCATGTAATATCAGTTCAAAATTCAAGACGACAAAAATGTTGAACTCTTGGCTTTAAAACAGGAAATCACAAAACACTGGGTAACATCCAGTCCGTTTTTTATATGACAGAAACCAAAACAGAGTAAATATTTGACATCTGTTTGATTAATTTTTTTCCAGAAGCCTCTAAATAATTGATAACTTTTGGCTGTGTAAGCCATATATGCCTAATGGTTGATGCTGTTTTCTTGATGTGTTGACATTTTTTTTAAATTATTGTAACCTACGTGACTGAAAAACTAAATCCTGTTTAAGTTTCTCCTTAATAATCATAATGAGCACAGTCAGAGCCAAAACTTGGAATAGGCATGTGGGGAAACCCAAAGTTATAGATGCAGGGGAGTCTGGGCTTGTGTACAGGCTGGGATCAGATGGCCTGTGCTGCTGCTGGTCAAACATTAACTTCTGTTATGCTGACAAGATGCCCTTATTAGTGGAAACAGTTGGAAGTGTATCCGTGTGCCCAGATGTCACTAATGGAGGTGAAGTAAGTTTGGCCATTACCCAGATAACCCATAAATTTACAGGACTCTGACCAACCAGAATGAGACCTGATAACCTATCGACTCAGAGCTTCACCAAACATTAGCCTGCCCTCATCCTGCTGTGATGTAGAAATGCTTTCTCCTTAAGCAAACCAATTTCGTTGCCTGTTTTCAAAAAGAATATCTCACGCTGAACGAGGGTTTGTCTTTCAATTCTTTCTGAACTAAGAAAAAAAACAAACAACTCCTCCAACAAGTTTCTTGATTGGTATCGTATCCTTTCTGTTGGTGGCGGGAGGTCAATGGCGAGCTTTCACGTGGTGCGGGTCAGAGTGAGCTGGACGGCTCTTTTGGCTCTGGCCCATTTCATCTACCTGCTGGCTGGAGCCACCATCTTCCGAATACTGGAGCGAGAGGCCGAAAACTACAATCGAAACCATTTTCTGATGGAGAAGTTGAATTTCTTAGCAAATTACACCTGCTTGGATGGAGACGCCTTGGAGTACTTTGTTAAGGTCTGGCATTTATTACACTGTCAGCATGTGTTTGATAGTCCCAACTTTACCAACACAGTGATGGCAAGGCAACAGCAAGGCAATTCAAAGTGCTTTACATTAAAAGATAAAAGGTATTCATGTAAAATGAGCAACATTTAAAAAAATGTAACAGCTTCTAGATAGAAAATAGACTGAAATACATGTAATTTAACATAAAATAATCTGAAATGAAAAGCAAAGAGAAAAAGCCAAAAATGAATGCTTCTTCTCCATAGTTTTAAATATGTGGCTGTGGCTCAGGAAGTCATCAAGATACTTAACCCTGAGTTCCTTCCAGTTCAATAATAAATCATTAGATAAGGCACTTAAGTATAGAATAAAGTGTGTGTATGTGTGTTGAAGACTTGACAGTAAGTAGCTTTGAGTGCTCATTTAGATTAGAAAACTGTAATTTACTTGACTGGCTACTTATCCTAGGAGACTGTCACAGACAACCTGATGGGTCTGGATGGTTAAGAATGTACTGGGAGGTCAGTAGGGCTTCCAAAAACAGAAAGTGAATGAACAATTGTATGATTATGGACGCAGTTTCTTGCTACACCCATACCCCTCACATCCACAATGTAGCTAATAAGACCAAGCTCTTGAGCCGTACACATACATGCAGGAGACTTTAGATTAGATTACATACACCTGGTTTGTGATATAGACTCAACAAGTTGCTGGAAACAGTCACGAGAGATTTTGGCACATGTTGACATGATAGCATCACACAGTTGATGCAGATTCCAGCCCACTATATCCCAAAGACGTTTTATTGGATTGAGATCTGGTGAGGTCATTTGAGGAGAGTGAACCTTGGTTATAACAAATGCTTTCTCACCACTCTCCAATCAGTGATCCTGAATTGGAGAGTGGGAGGGAAATCCCAGCAGGTCAGCAGTTTTTAAAAAAATTCAGGCCTCCTTGCCTGGCTAATTAATATATGTGAGGAGTTTTTCTACCAATTTTAAGTTTGTGCTGCATCTTTATATTATCAGACTCTACCAAAATGTGTTCAGCATCAGATCTAGTGCCATGATAAATGTCTATCAACACCATAAATGTTAATAATGCAATGAACTACATGTCAAGTGATGTTACACGAGAATCAATTATTACACTACAAGCTTTTTTTACATCATGACAATACCGCTACATACATGGTAATAGCTGACTGTAACCTGACTTAACGAGTCATTTAGTGTGTTCTGATCTAAAACATCTGTCAGTGTGATTACTGGCTCCCTTTAGTGTCATGAGTCATTAAATGTTCAGGAACATTTAATCCTGATTTTACTATCTCTGTGCTTGCATTTGTGTGTGTGTGCGTGCACACAGGTAATTTTATATGCCAAGAAAAATGGAGTAAATCCTTCAGGAAACTCCACAAACCCCAGTAACTGGGACTTCAGCAGCTCCTTCTTCTTTGCAAGCACAGTCATCACAACTATCGGTGAGCACTTTCACATTTCAGTTTTCCCATTTGTGGGAAATGCCTGCCCAGCTTAATAACGGCTCCTTATCTGGTTCACAGGCTATGGAAACCTCTCCCCAAGCACTGTGTCTGGCCAGGTGTTTTGTGTGTTTTATGCTTTCTGTGGGATTCCCCTGAACCTGGCCTTCTT